ACAAATTGAAAAAATAAATGCGAAAGATGTTGTGCCAAAACTTTTATTTATCTTTATCACTAATACTTTATTAACTTTTATATATCTTTATTTTTATTATTAATACTTGCAGTTCGATTATTCCTTATTAAATTAACCTTATTAAATTTTAAAATTTAATTAAAATATACTAAAAATATACTATATTAAACTATGTTAAAAGTAGCATTTTATTAATTTCATATTGAGCAGAACATGTAAAATAATAATTGTTAATTAAATAAAAATTAGATTCAGTAAATTATTAATTAAAGTTAAAAGTGAAAATTTTAAATAAAAACTATTAATTAAATTAATAGTTTTCAATTTAATAAAAATTATTAATTAAATTAATTTTATTTTACATAATAATATAATAAATATTTGACATAATATAATAAATATTTGACATAATAATATAATAAATAAATATTTCTAGATTAGAAAATAAAAAATATAATAGGCAGGAATAAAACCCGGGTCGACAGATCGGTATTACAGGGCCGAACGCTCGAGCTACTCGATCTTGACCATAGACATAGTATAGATAGACCGAACATGCTATACCAGGCAATGGACGACATGTGCGAGTGAGAAGAAACATCTGATTTTTTCTCTTTTTCTAATAGAAGAAGGTGGGGGAAATATTAAGTGAGGGCAATATATTTATAATTATACTGTTAAAAAGCGGAACATTTATCATCCAAGAAATGTATTTAGAAAATATATTTAGAAAAAGATATTTTTGATAATAGAAATACATAAACGTGAATAAATAAAAAGAAAAGATAATACACATGAAAGATAATACAGATGAAATACCTAGATTATTTGGAAAAATTTGACAAAAGTTGCTCAAATATAGTTAATTTTTTATTAATAAGAAAAATATGCCTATGCGTAGTTTCTCTGGCAAATAAAATTTCTTGGTTCTTAAAAAAATCATTTTATAGTTTCTAAAAAGGATCGATAATATCTATTTTATACTGCAATAACAGCAATTATTTGATGCAATAACTTTCTTATAATGTATTGTTGATAAATTTTATAAATTCTATGACGTATGTTATAAATCGCGATTGCAGGTACTGAATTCGCATTATTATTTGTTATTTTTATAAGTTTTAGAATACTTTTTTGTTCATCTTTAAGATAATGCTTAACTCTAAATTCATTTGAATTTCCTGAAATTGTAATAAGAAAAAATTATTCTTTTAATTGAATAGTAAAAAATTTTTTATGTAATGAGACACATAAATATATATCTAAATTTATATAAATATATAAATAACAAAACACTTAACTTTCGGTAAAAAACAAGTAATGCGAAAATTATTTTTTTAAATTATTTTTTCTTGTTCAATTATTTTCATTATTACTATTTTTCATTATTACTATTGTTTTTCTTACCAAATAAGAATTTTACAAAAGAAAAAAAACTAATATGAACA